AAGAAAGAAAGAAAGAAAGAAAGAAAGAAAGAAAGAAAGAAAGAAAGAAAGAAAGAAAGAAAGAAAGAGAGCATGCTCAATTTCAACCAAGTCAGATTTAACGGGTCTTCTGGTGTCTTTCATGTAAAAAAAATAAATGACAAACAGACTGCTAATTCAAAAATGAGACAACAAGAAAGCCTAGCAGAGAAGAACGTACAACTGTAGTAGAGGAGATGGTGGAGTCTCCAAGGGTTATGATGGGAGGCGGACAAGCAAGAGACAGAGAGGTAAAACTCAGGCAAAGCTGGCCCAGACACTCACTGAGAAATCAATACTACATCACCCTTTCCACCCAGCCCTCTCATCTATATCTCTCTCTCCCTCTCTTCACCACTGTCTCACTCCCTCCCTCTCAGTTAGGGGTCATCCATAATTAATTCATTAATGTGTTATTCCGTTTTTTTGCCCCTCTGTATTGTTTCTTTTGCTTTCAACAACAACAGACCTGCAAATAACAGACTATCCCCGATGTTATGTTGCCGAGTTATGCTGAAGCACTTAGCTGCCGCAGTGTTGGTAAAAGAAGAGAAATAGTTGGAACAAACTGGTTTTCAAACAAAGTCTATTTAAGAAGATCCCCGGTTGCCTTCTTAGTTTATAATGACGGGGCAGAGATATCTGCATCGATCAGTTCAACATTTACTAAGCAATTATTTAAGTGGAAAATTTTGGATTTCATATAACTAGATTAAAATGATTTATGCAAAAAACAAACAAACTCACCAGCTGTGAAGCTCTGTGGTGCCACCTCTTGGTGGGGTAGTGGTAGAATATCAACAGCCACAGGAAGGGATCACCATCTTCAGTCCCAGATGTGACCAGCAGCTGGACAGCCACCTGTACCCAGTGGGCACACTGAACCAGCAGGAACCAGGCCTCAAACACGTTGTGGTGCCCCCTGCAGGACATTAGGAGAAGCAGCATTTAACAGCAGAAGTAGAACCCTTCATGAACAGTGGGTATTCATTGGGATGTGATTTGTTACCGAAAAGACACTGTACCACATGAGAGAACATATATTATATGAACACATACCTCACAGGGTACAATTTCTTTTTAAAAAAATGAATAATTCAATAGCAAACACCATCAGTTATATTAAACCAACAGTTTGTAGGATTTAGGGGGAATTGTAGCTTAGAAGAAGTATAGGATTCACGATTATGTTTAAATTAGTGTATAATCACCTGTAAGTAGAAGGTTTTTTTTGTTTTGTAAGCTAAAAAAAAAAAATACTCTTCCATCAAGTAGGCCATGTTGTGCCAGCAATACGTCTACAGGAGCCCAAAGTGGACAGAGCACCAACTGGATATATATATATATAGAGAGAGCTTTCCTGTGTGGCTTAGCTTCAGTCTTGGAAAGGGAGGAGCGACGGAAGAGTATTTAGTTGCTTGCAATCTGCAACCAAACTGCAAGATGCCAATAAATCCTACATGCTGGTCATTTATGCTTAAAAATTCATGACTGATTATGTCAACTATGTCAACGTCTGTGGTCATGAAATCCTTCGAACGACTGGTGTTAGCCCACCTGAAAGACATTACAGGCCACCAGCTGGACCCTCTGCAGTTTGCCTACTGGGCAAACAGGTCGGTGGATGATGCAGTGAACATGGGGCTGCATTACATCCTGCAACACCTTGACCACCCGGGAACTTATGCCAGGGTCCTGTTTGTGGACTTTAGTTCGGCTTTTAACACCATTGTGCCTGAACTTCTTTCCTCCAAACTCTCCCAGCTCAGCGTGTCACCAGCTACCTGTCAGTGGATCACCAGCTTCCTGACAGACAGAAAGCAGCAAGTGAGGCTGGGGGAGATCACCTCTGAAACCCGGTCCCTCAGTATTGGTGCCCCTCAAGGATGTGTCCTCTCACCACTACTGTTCTCCCTCTACACTAACAACTGCACCTCCAAGAACTCAGCTGTCAAACTCCTAAAGTTTGCAGATGACACCACTGTCATTGGCCTCATTCAAGATGGTGATGAGTCTGCATACCGGCAGGAAGTTGAGCGGCTGGTACTCTGGTGCAGTCAGCACAATCTTAAGACTGTAGAGATGACAGTGGACTTCAGGAGACATCCCTCAACTCTGCTCCCCCTCACCATATCAGACAGCCCTGTGTCAACTGTGAAGACCTTCAAGTTCCTGGGTACAACCAACTCCCAGGACCTGAAGTGGGAGACCAACATCAACTCCATCCTCAAAAAGACCCAGCAGAGGATGTACTTCCTGAGACAACTGGGGAAGTACAGTCTTCCACAGGAGCTGCTGATCCAGTTAAGGTAATTTGGGTGGTCTGGTTCAGTTTGTTAATAGCTTGGCACTTAATCTACAACTTAGTCTCAGTTTTTCCGAGGTATTTGTGTGAATATGTACAACTTTCCCCTCTACAAAGCCTTCCCCAAAGTCCTGGTGGAAAATACAACTGCTGACTGTCAGCCTAACAATTTATACCCAGGCTGCTTTCCAAGCATTGAAAAAAAAAGTGGCCATAAAGAAGAGAAGATGGTTTGTTTGTTGTTGTTGTTTTAAATACATACTGTCAAACTGAGATGGCAACTGAGCAAAATTATACTAAAACAATCTGGTGTTCAGTGTAGAGGAGAAAAAAAAACTCTGATAGCAGGCTGTCAACTGACTCATTAGGACTTTATGAATGAACCACAACTGAGTCCCTGCCATGGAAATTAGGACACCCCCATTGACAGGATCAATGGAAGATCAAAGCGACTTAAATGCAGATGATGCAGATCTAAGTCATTGTCTGATCTATTGATGAGCATCATAAACAACACCTCAAACTGCTACATTTGTACAAAACTAGAAAACCTTCATTCAGCCATCACGATTCGTGATGGGCTCTGCGTAATTAGCAACAAGGTCTGATGTCCTTTGATGTCCAAACCAATCAGCTGATGGTTATGATCTTGAAACGTATCAATATTCTCTGTATTTTCTCATCATTCGTAGACAAGTTCATATTGTAGGCAAGCTGCTTCTCGTTAGATTAATGTTTTATAAAAAATGAGAACCGTAAATCTAAAAGTAAAAAGAGAAAGAAGAAATATTGGCAAAGAAATTGAGATTTGGGCAGACAAAGTGGTACAACAGAGCGAACAGAGCTTCACAGCTGCAACAGCAAGAATGACTTCAAGTCAGAAGAGCGATAAGGATCTCGTTCTCAGATTTCCCTAATACCATCATTAGAGCTCTCTTCCTCATCTTCCCTCTCTCCACTTGGCTTCCAAATAGGAACAGCAGCAGCCCTCTGCAGGGCCTTGGCAGCTGCAACTTTGCTTGGAGCAACACAACACACTACTTTCCCACCGCTGGCTCCGAACAATGTTTTGGGAATTTTGCACTCAACTCCAGAATGAGGCGACAGTGGGGATAATGGGCCCTGTTAAAAAACGCAGCTGAAGGGCATCAAGTCATCCGTCTCCATCTCCACGACATCACCTAGTTGATGTTCTTTTAATCAGAAACCCCTATTCTCTTTTTTCATGAATCCCAGACTAAATAGTCTACTTTTCTCTGTTTCGTTATATCTTTTTTCTACTCTATCCACTTCTTCTCCACTCATTTTCCCACTCACTTGTATTCTCCACAGTTCTCTCTTTCCTAAGCTAATAGCCTCTAATGAATGCTTGGAGAAGCTACGCACTCCTCCAGGACCTCTGTACTGTGAGGCAAGGGAAAAATATCTGACTAACCACCCCCTCAACAAGAGCTAATGGAAATAAGAACACCGCACAGGCATTCAGTAGGGTGGTGGAAGCAGGCACACATTAACACATTCTCTCCGCGAGCCATTCTCACTCTAACCTGGTGCTTCTGCCGTCTCCCTCCTCTTCCTCCTCTTCCTCCTCTGTCAGTCTCTGTAATGAGCTGCTCAGCCAGTTCAGGTGATTTCTCCAAGCCCCCTGAGGCATCTCTGCAAGAACAGATTCAGATTTAATGACATAATGATGGCTTGTTGCACAAATAATCGCTTCTTACAATCCACTGATCCAAAGCTAACTATTAAGTCAATCTTGAACTAACCATTCAAGAATAATGAAAAATACGTTTATTATTATTATTAGAAAAGTTATATTACTGAAATATGTGTGTGGTAAATGTAGCACTACAATAACCCAAGAATCAAAATGTGACTCCAACATTTAATTCCCCATAACACCGCAAACTGCTGCAACCAGCAATTATATTAATTATTGATTCATCTGCCAGCTATTTTCTACATTAGCGGGAAAATGATTTGGTCTATTGAAAGTCAAAATACAGCAAAAATGGCACAGCAGTTTCACTGAATCCAAAAAGAGATCTTCATAGATAAATTTATTCCCTTAGTTTGAAATAGACGGATAAGAGGACCAAAACCAATAAATATTTGTATACCTTTGACAGCCTCGTTTTAGATTTGTTAAATCTTTAAATCTTCTTATCATATTACCAGAAAAAAAGCATGTTCACATATATTAAAATAGATAATATAATTATATTTAGCTAAGATAATAGTTAAGCTTTTTATTAGTAAAATACATAAACAATCCTCCAAATATCTTGCACATTTACACTCACTGGACACTCTGTTAGGTACACCTTGCTAGTGTTGAGCTGAGAACTGCCTTCATTCTCTGTGTTACAGATACAGCAAGGTGCTGCAAACATCGCTCAGAAATTTTGGTCCATATTGACATGATCGCATCACACAATAGCTGCAGATTTTTCGCTTCAAATCACAGATGGTTCTCTCCCTTTCTACCACATCCCACAGGTGTCACGGTTCGGATGTGTGGTAGACAGGGAGTGGACCCAGATGCAAGACTCCAGAGACCAAAAGTAATCTCACAAAGGGAGCTTTATTGCTGAGCTCTTTACAGAAACACAAAGAATCACAGGCCTGAGGTAAGGAAAGGAGCAGGAAGGTAACTAATAAATCTAAAGTCATCAATAACTAAAGTAGAGACACAGATAATACAAGAGGTATCCAACACAAGGATCAGAAAACAAAACTACTGAAATTACAAAAGTAAAAACTCGAGCTCACGACTCATGGAAACTGACAAAAGGTGCTCTACTCAATTGAGATTTGGTGACTGTGGAAGAGTACAGTGCACTCACAGTCATGTTTAAAAACAAAACAAAACAACCGTTCACATTACCCTACATTACCCTGTTGGAAGCAGTCATCAGAAGATATCAAGACTCATTAGAGCAGGCAACATTTTTACAGACTTCTGTTATCTAATTTTGGTGAGCCTGTGTGAACTGTACCCTCAGTTTCCTTTTCTTAGCTGGCAGGAATAGGACCCAGTGTGGTCCTCTGTTGCTGTAGCTCATCTGCTTAAAGGTTTGATGTTTTGTGTGTTCACAGATACTTTGGTTGTAAGGAGTGGTTATTTCAGTTACTGTTACTTTCCTATCTGCTCAAAGCAGTCTGGCAATTATCCTCTGACTCCTGGCATCAACAGGCGTTTTCACCCAGAGAGTTGCTGCTCACTTGGTATTTTCTCTTTTTTGGACCAATCTCTGTAAACTCCGGAGATGGTTGTGTGGGAAAATCTCATTGGAACATTTTCTGAAATCCATATGACATCCAGAGTCCCTTAAATCAGCGGTCCCCAACCCCCGGACCGGTACCGGTCCGTGAGTCGTTTGGTACCGGGCCACGAGAGTTGAGGCTCGGGTGTGAAATTGATGGTTTTCAGGGTTTTTAATCGTTTTTTATTGTTATTTTTATCCTTATCAATAAATCTTCTTTTTTTTGGTACCGGTACTGGTTTTATTTTGTTGTATTTATCTGTGACACCTTAAAGGCCGGTCCATGAAAATATTGTCAGACATAAACCGGTCCATGGTGCAAAAAAGGTTGGGGACCGCTGCCCTAAATCACTTTTCTTCCCCATTCCGACGCTTGTTTTGAACTTCAACCGGTTGTTTTGACCATTTCTAACTGCATACCAATACCAAACAGCTGAACAGGTGTACCTGAAAAGTGGCCAATGAGTGTAATTTCAAAGCAGAAATGGCCCAACTGTGATTACTTTCTTGTGCTTTTCAGGATTCATTTTAACTGCTGTTAAAATAGTTTTTTCACATTGCATTGTAAAAAATAGATTTCCCACCGCAAACCAAATTTTTTCACAGAAACGCAGTCCAAATGACACCTGAGGTTGACAAACAAACTTGAATAAATATTTCAAATACTTGTCAGCGTGATCCAAGTTTTTTCCCAAGGCTGTGTTTTAACAATGCAATGCTAAAATGTAATTCGTGGCTTTTTCAGAGAGGGCACAAATCATAATAAATCCTCAAATCTTCTACTTTTCTCAGTACCATTTCTATTCAGTCCCTGGTGAAAAATTGCCCTTCCCCACACACACACACACACACACACACACACACACACACACACGCACATAGTAATAATTAACTCTGAGTTCTGGCTGGGCTCCAGCGTGTCCCTAAATGGCTCCATTCATGTAAATCATTCCTGCCTACAGGCCAGTCTGGGCACACACTGATAAGCTTACTGCTCCGTTTTGCTCCTGCACTCACCTACTGTGCATCTCTTTAATTGTAAAGATTCCCAAACACAAAAACTGTTAGCACAGTGATACACATCCAGCATAGATAATACTGATCCTTTTTGATAAGACAAATAAAAATGCTTTGTGTGTTTATGTATGATGACCCATATTTTCATTTGTTCATTTTTATAAAAAACAATAAGGAAAACAGCTATCCCAATAACACAGGCACTGACACCTAAGCCTCCGTTTCTTTTCAAATCACCATTTTTCATGTCTGACATAAAAGGCTTCATAGTTATAAACTAACTACTATTGATTAGCAAGAACAAGACGCACAAAAGACCGTTCATTCTGCTGCAGGAAAACTGTTTACACAGTGATAAAGCGTAACTAATCACAGTCTTCTTCACAGTGATGGGTTTTGTGCATAGTGTCAGAGTGAAACATCCAAAAGCAGACGATGACGCACACAACATGTGTGTCTGCACACTGACCTGATGGCATCGTCAAGAGGGGAACCAGCAGACTTGAAGGCGACTGTGGGAAGAAGGCTTTCACAGATATGCTTGTCTGAAACAACACAAAGCACATTTTTACCTCAGCTTCATCAATGTAAATCACAGTTTCCTTCAACTCATGCATCAGTGTGCTCTGAAAGCCTGAAAAATGGCATTTTGAATGGGAGGCTGTGTAACAGTGATACAGTTGGTGCTAATGTGTAATGTAGCGTGTAATAGGTAGCGTTTTGTGCAGGGTGACTACAGCCATTAAAATCGAGGCCACTGTAAATGCACTATAGCACTGCCATCTAGTGGTTAATAGAGGTGAAAAGAAAGGAAACGCTTTACTCACAAAGCTGCATAGCAGATAATACATCATCCCTACATAGTAACACATCTGTTTTCTGGAATGGCTGACATGTAAGTGCCAGATTATTCCTTACAGTCCCACAAACTGTTTGGATGAATGCTCCCCAAACAGTGACAGAGAACATGTGTCAGCTGAGGGCTGAGAGTTTTAGCAAAAGTTGGAAAGTACACAGTGACACAGAAGTGTAAGAGCTCACAGTGGTTTCCACATTTATCTGTACAGAGTTATTACCTGCAAACCGATGATGTGAATTCATTGTCTATGATGCAGGGGTGTGAAATGTGCTGTGTTAGGTGTGAGCAGCAGGTTCCCAGCTGGAGTTCAAGTGATAATAAAGTGGAGGATTCATCAAGTAAGTGATTTTTCCTGCAGCTCTAGAGGTAATTGCTTGTCGACTGCTGTGTTTGTGTATAGCCCTCAGGTTTAAAAGTACCCTTTCTTTAGTTTCCACGCTAGATAAGAATCACTGGAGAAAATCTGCTCGACACCTACAATCCTGTGAAAGAGAAAGTTTTCACAGGACTCCATACGGCCTGCTGAAAAACTGTGATTCAGTAGCTTGTAGAATCACTTTTAGCAGCAATAAGCTGAAGTGATCATTTTCTGTATGACTTTAACAGGCTCTCACATTGTCATGGAGAAATTGAGTTCTTTTTATGACAATGCTTTAACTGAGTGAAGTTTGTGGCAAATAATTTATGCAAAACTCTCTTAAGGTCCTGTCACAGTTTGACTGGACTTTGACTCTCTTCTTTTCCCTTCCATTGCAGATTTTCCGCTGTGACTGAGATCCCTGTCCTGTTGCAAGCCCATATCATCACCTCTCCATCACCGTACTTGGTATGAGGTTTTGTGCTGATCTGCTGTGTTTTGTTTTTTTTGTGCATTATGGCCAAATATCTCGATGTTGGTCTCAAATGTCCAAAGGACATTGTTGCAGTGTTGCAAGTGTTGTGGTTTGTTCAGATGCAACTTTGCGAATCCAAGCCTTTGTCAAAATGTTTTCAGAAACTAGAGATGGATAGACTGAAATAATCTATTAGTCAAATGACTGTTTGCAGTGCTGCAAGAAACAAACATGTATGCATTTATTGTAGCTGACCTGAGGCTTCAGCAGTGCCAGTTCCCTCAGGAAACACTTGGTAAAGGTTTGGACCAGAGTCTTAACAGACTCATTTCCTTCAGCTTGCTTAAGGATGGACCTGCAAAGTACACGTTCAGTAACAGCATATCACTGTAATATTCAGTAAGCACCAGAAATATATACTGACTTTCTACACAAACATAACATATTTCAGCCAGAACTCACCTAAAGATGTCATTTACAACCAAGAATATTGAGCAGTGCTGAGCACAAGCTTTAGGCTGAAACACAGAAACACACAAAAATTTAAATACTTCACAAATGCTAAAAAATAAAAAAATAAAAAAATAAAAAAAACCCTACCAATCCAATCCATACAGAAATTACTGACAATAAATACCTGCTCCCATTAAACCACTTTGAATGTCCAGAATACTGACCAGAAGGTGTCACTGTTGAATCACCCAGAAACATTCTGCTTTTAAGCCTCAGTTATCCTTGTTCTCACTCTCTCCTCATTAAACACTCAGTTTACCACTCTGTCAGCCCTTCCTTCACGTACACACAAACACCCCCACACACAATTACTTTCTCATCTCCTCCTTAAATGCACTCATCATGTGTTTTGGATTTAACACATTCTTAAACGCCCCAGCACAAAAATTTAACAGCTGCACTGTTCATATTTTCTAGTCCCTAATTATCCTCCAACCCAACACCCATCTTATATAAGGACAAGCACTTCACTATGGGGGAGAAATGGCTTTATTCCTGCAAAATAATGTGCTAGTGGAATGATACAGAAGGGATGCAGATAGGAGTAAGCCTTTTAACTTATTTAATTTACACATAGCCAATTTAGAGCTACCACTTGTGTCAGTATTTTAAAAAAAATGTAGCTCACCGTTCACTGTTTGAATTAAAACACTAATAGGTTAGAACTTGATTATATAAATAGGGCGCTAAATTGCATTTCCACCAGTTTAGGCAGACTTTTAACCACACAAAGCGCCAAATTATGAGACCAATTACATTCACAGAAATAAACAGCACCGCCAAGTGTTTATGTGGTGTAATTACAACATCTTGTAACAAAGTGATTTTATTCTTAGTTTTATAACATGTGTGTTTCTTTTCTCTCCTCTCAGTTCAGAAGACACCATTAACCAGCCTGTTTGCACGGGTATGGAATTCCATAGAGTTTATGTATAACAGTGTACATCTGCATATTATGTGGGTTGCATGCCAACATGCATGCATGCATGTGAACTGTCATGGTTTCCGCCTTAGTAAAAACAGATGGGACTTTTTTAGCGTCTTCCTCCATACCTTACCACTAACACTTCAAGGAGGGTCAATTACAGCACACAACAAACATTCTGTTTTTGGCAGTCAGACCCAGGAAGTGAGTGTTTATTGTTATTGGGCCTGCGCTTCTCACTGGATCACATGGGGGTGGGACAAGCCGAAATGAGGAATGTAAGAGTAATTCCATGGTTCCCATTTTTGAATGTAGTCTAAACAAGTGAGCAAAAGAGTTGAGGAGAGACGCAATCCAGTGTGCTTTTATGTCTCACGTTATTTGTATCCCGACAGAATATTACACATTGTATACTCAACATGCACGAAACACGAATCTGAATGTATATATTTGTGTGTAAGGTGATGAAAATCAGAGATCGTACAGCTCTACCAAAAGTGGAGGCACACCTGGAAAAGTACAACCCCTTTAGCAAACAGACATTAACATATACATGAATAATCTGTCCAGGGGTTCCCAAACATACAAACATGCCATTGTAAATCCGGAGCAGAGAAATAAACAGGCAAAAATTACATCCCTTATATACAAAGTTAGTTCAACTGTTTATAAAACTTTCCATCAAAGCAGTCCCTGCAAACTAAAGAGGAAGAAGCAGGAATCTAACCCAGAAGTTAGCAGACACGCACATTTTTGTGCATGCAGTGTCAGTGCATGCAAACAAGCATGTCCCTATCTAAAACTGAGAACGTGTGCTTTGCTACCTTGTTATATACACAGCTCAAGTAGACCATCACTCTGTGAAAACAAGAGTGACACAACTGACAAACTTTATCCAAGTTAACTGGAGCAAGATGACAGGTCAAATTTTGTTTCCGTCTTGAGTTTCACTGACATTTATAACTTCCACTCGGAGTGCAATCAAAGGGCTAGGTAAATAGGATGCCATTCATAACGCGCACACAAGTATTTTATTGTTGTGTACAGATGTTTGGCACAAACAATGTGTAAAAAATGTCTGCTTTAGACACACATCCAGATTCGGGTTGGCACTGTTGTATCTAATTTCAGTGTTTTTCCACAGCTTTCTCGAATTGTCTTGTTTCAGTGACACACTTAATTATTATTGTTGTCCTTACATCTCACTGAGGCTTCACTAATTTGGCAAACAAGTTTTAAATGTGGGATAAAAAAAGCAGCCTCTGTTGCCCCTCCTCCCAAAAAAAGAACACCACTCACTGCTTTTACTTTGTGAGCACTTTGCAGCAACGAGGACGTCATTTTCATCAACCAGTCATAACAATTTATAAATCAAAATCACCTCTGACTGGACATGATCTTAAGTTATATGAACTTAGGAGTGGCCAAGAACTCGAGCGACAGAGAGCTCCGTACTTACCCAGCACAGTAAAGGCTGTGTAGCACAGGCCAAATTATGTGAGATGGGGTTAAGAGCTTGCCAAATTATGTGAGACCCATGCAGCGCAAAGCCAACTGGTGTTAGCCGGGCAAGAACAGTCCATAAAGAGTCACCAAAAAAAGCAAAGGAATGTTTCCCAGAATTATGCATATTATAATCAGCAAAATTTTGCAGCAAGGCCTATATTAGAAGCAGCTAAAACTGCAGCTTAACACATAAGGAGTGTGCAATGATTTCTCATGCGAGCCCCTGTAATTCAGGGCAGATGAGTCAAAGTTTGTGCATAACAAACTAATTTAACAGCAGCAGTATATCACCAATATATGAATAAATGAGGCCAATTCATGCAGCAGTAAAACTGCAGAAAATCTCACAGTACAACAGGACAACATTCTGCACATTCTCTCCAACTCTGTCAACATAAAACAACAATATCCTTAGATACTCGTATTTCATCATAAGTTCGGCTCTTCAGATACAGCACGTATACTTTTTTAAAACTTTTTGGCACTTCTGTGACTGTCATGAACTACAATAGTATTGCCAAATTGTTGCTATAAAATGTAAATGATGGGGGGAAAAAGATGAGACTTGATCTATAGCCCAGCAGACTAGTCAACAATCGTGTCAGGTACGATTTAGATGTAACTGTTTCAAATGTATTTTAAATCAGCTCCTAATTTTCAAATGTTCAAAGTTTACAATATAACTGATTGTCTGGGTTTCAAACTCAGGCTTTGATAGAGAATCATGGGTATTTTTTGATGACGTTTTGTACACTGCAGAATTAAGGTAGAAAATAACTAGAAAACAAACGTTTACCCACCAGCAGTGACTGTGCTACTTGTTGCTCTAGCTTCTGTGGTGTTAACCCTGTAGTTATAACAGACTGCAACAGACTGAGGACTGCTTCTTCCAGGCTGGAAAAGCTGTGATACCACAGAGATACCAAGGCCTGCTCCTCCAATGCCAAACCCTGCCTGGGAAAAGAAGAATAACTTACATCACTGGATATATATATCCCAGCTGTGAATATTGTGTATATTGTAGATGCATGTATATCACAATCAGATAAAATTCCGGGTTACATTTGGGAAAATCCTTTCTACATCTCAACTATATGAGCCAAGAAATCGCCCTTTGTTTGCCTATGTAATGCTCCAATCTATAAAATACAACAATTAAAATGCTCAATATAGTACAGTAAATACAATGTGATAATGGACTAGGTCATAAAATATTCAGCTTCAAACCCTTAATATTTTACTACCTTGAGTAAGCAGAGGTCAAAGCATTCAGAAAGTCTTCACTGAGAGCTTCTGTGACACAAGCCACCGGCCGCTGTAGCAGTAGACTAATGAGAGAAGATGCCTCGGGACAAGTGACAATGGGGATGCATGCCTCTGATATATCCACAATCCTGTCACATGAACACCTACATGGAAGATAAGATAGATCTTTATTGTCACTGTTACCAGAACAATGAAACACAGTACTTTACCTCAAGTTAAACATAAACAACTCTGCTATTATCATAGAAAAGACAGAAATCCATCCAGGCTCAAGTTTTATTTTCAGTCCTCCTTTCCACACATCCTATTATTTAAAAATTCACAGTGTGTTGGATTCAAATGTGATTTTAAGTGCACACATAATTATACTAACCATTCTACAAGCTAATAATAACAACTTTGACAAAAGCTATCTATTAGTGTCCTCTAGAGTGGCAGCAGTTAGTCAAAGAGTTAGCTAATATGATGTTAAATGACTGATTACATCACCATCCCTGGCTCTAAACTGTGAGGATTTGTTATTTTCTCTGCTGTATATAAAGGCTAATAAATACTTTTATTAGCCTTTATTAAAGATAGTTTCAAGAAGGTTTTATATAAACTATGATGATTAATTTTTTCACCATTTTACAACATTTTCGTTAAGAAACAAAATAACCCACTGATGAAATATGAATGGCACTTACCTGTATCCAGCTGGTCTACATATTTTATTTATTTATTTTTCACATTTACCTCTGACTGTTAAATAATGTGCAGCTTTGTCCAACGTTTTCCTGCAGCAGCGCCACCTTCTGAAAAGCCGTTCAAAGCACAGTTTACATATAAAGCATGTTAAATTCAATATCTTTGTATGTAATGAATGATACCAACAGAAACAAAGCAATAATACCTTTCTCAGGACTTTAAGGTGGTACTCTTTAGCTGGTACACCCGTACACTTCATTAACGCTTGTGCTGCAGTTTCATCTTCTTCTGTGGAAAGCTGACACAATACTTTCTGTGGAAGGCCAGAAAACACAATGTGAAGAAAAATATATGTACTGTATGCATACAGCCATGTGGAAAAGAAACACCCTTATGGCTTCTATAGGAATTAAGAACGCAAGTAGCAATCAGGTGCTGCTAATAAAAGATTGGTTTGGTGGTCTGCACCATTCAAATGTGTGTTTACAGAATCTTCTCGGGAACGGACATCCTTGCCAACCCACTGCTCAATACTCTGGAAAGTTCCCAAAAAGTGTAAGAGCTTGAGCTCAGGCTCTACTAGCCTTAGTTAGAATGTAAATGTTAAAGCTTATGAAAGGACAATCACAAAAAGCCTGAACAAGCATGGCTGGTTTAGAACTGCTACCAGAAGAAAGCCTTATGCCTCTAAAAAGATGGCGCCATTTAGGTTTGCAAAATTTCATCTGAACAAACCACAAGCCATCTGGAACAATGTCCTTTGTATATGAGACAAAAAATAAAGATGTTAACAAAAAACATCACATTTCAGCCTAAATCTGTTATATTAACTGTGAAATACAGTGATGGACAGGTGGTGATCTGGGCTTGTTTTGCAGCCACAGAACCTGGGCACCTTGCATCAAGTCAACCATGAATTCCCCCTGTATACCAAAGTATTCAAGAATCACAGGCAGTCTGTACAACAGCTAAAGCTTGGCCCAAACTGGGTAATGGAACAAGATGGAACAAGATGATGAGACAAAACACTTGAAACAAATGGACAACAGAATGACTGAAAAAGAAAAGAATCAAGGTTTTGCAGTGGCCCAGTCAAAGCCCAGACCTCAATCCAATTGAAATGCAATGGTGGGATCTTATGAGAGCTGTGCATACACAAATGCCCACAAACCTCAATGAATTAAAGAAATGCTGTAAAGAAGAGTGGGTCAAAATTCTTCCACAATGATGTGAGAGACTGATAAAGTCCCAGAGAAATGATTACTTCAAGATTTTGCTGGTAAAGCTTGTTCTGCAAGCTCATGAATCAAAGGGTGTACTTAGTTTTTCACAGGACTGCAGAGTCCAGTGATTTTTTTTTTCTTTTGACTGTACGTGCATCACAATATAACAAGACTTTGATACAATTTTCCAAACCCTAAGATCCATAACACCAAAGCTAATTAGTTACTGGAATATAGGATGACTCTACTGGCATCACATCATTTGAAACACATGAGTGGAGAAAAGGTATTCCAGTAAGTGAGACTGTATGGACAGCATATGAGCAACTTCAGAGATGAACATTCCTTCTTACAGAGGGCCTTGGTGTTTTACGAGAATTTTTTAAAAGGGGCCTCATCATACACTGATAAACTAGACTAATAAACTCAGCTGATTCTGGTCTTCAAAAAAATGCTGGTCGTAATCAAGGAACAACAGGAGGGAACACAATGCTCATAGTGTAAGGCACAATGCTACATGAGTAACTCTCAAACCGCTTTCAATAAAACAGCAAAACTGCCAAGATGTACGATTTCTCAAAATATTTAATAAATATGTCACAGCAGAAGAAGCGTTGAGACATATCGCCTTGTTTTTACTTTCAGTGTTGGCATTTAAAAACCAAAAGTGATGCCACACAGCATTCAGTGGTCTCGTGAATGATACGCTGAATTTTTGACAAAAATATTCTTCAGAATTCCTTCAGAAGTGCTTGAAAACCCAAAGATCCATAACATGAAATTAGAGATTGATTTAAACTTTAGAAATCCCCTCAACTCAACCACAGATTTGACATACTGTTGCAAGCCGGAAAGTGAGATCCAACAGAAACAGCCAAAGCCTCACATCTTCACTAGACATAGAGCTGCAGTAAAAACAGAGAAACATCTATACCACAAAGAACCAATCCCCTAAAACTACAAACAGTGTGCGCTTAACAATAGATAAGGAGAAAAGGAGACTTTGGAGCACAATTTATAAAGAAAAGAACTCAAGTGAAGCAGAAAAACAGAAACCAATGAAGGGATGCTGCAGCGTTGTTGGTGAGGATGTGTGGTTTCTTTGGCAAAGCCCTACAACACGCTAAGATGCTTACCCTCCACATAGTCGCAAAAAACAACCCAATAACTACCATCTGAGAGCCCTCAAACTCTGCACATTGAGTGCATAAAAAAAACCGATCAATCTTATCCCACCCTTGGTAAGGAGGCACAGTGAGGCTGGGGAATGAGAGGGAAGGGAGGCTGGTTAGAAGAAATATCAGAGGGACACTGGAATGTACTGCGATGGCTGCAGTTTAAAAGTCATAAGCAACTAAGTTGGCTTTGGGGACATTGACTGCCATTGCTGCCATAGAAATTATCCCTCCATAAATCTAAAATTAAAACAGAGGATGTAGAAAAATGCACAACGCAAAGGCTTGGGTTGTTTTTGATGGGTGTCTGTTAACAATTACTAAGCCATGACTGAATTCTCCCAAAACCAAAGAAAGACTGAAGTATAACCTCAGATGGTCAAAACAGCAAAGACAAAAAAAGAAGGCGAAATGAAGGATAAGAGTGCAAAAAAGGCTCATTATAGAAAATAATAAAGAGAGAAGCAACTGCCCTCAAACCTGGCACAAAGACAGCTACAGGAAAGAAGCAAGAGCAATTTAAGTTTTCCACCAAAATGGCCAAATGTGCCACTTTTGACCCCATAAACCTTGTGTATATGGACATTTTAAGACATTGATTTTTGAAAGAAAATCATTTGTGTCATGTAGCCAACTCAGATTGAAAATAAAAGTTTTACAAGAAACACCCCTTTTAAATTCAGCAACTTTTATGATATAGTTTTAGCTTTTTGATTCTTTTCAATGCGCTGCTTCTTTTTTAGACTGAGCTTCCCTTTTGTTGACACATTGGTCATGATTTATGCTATAATAGGAAAAGAAAAACAAAATCGTTAGCAAGTAGACAAAATAACATTAATTATATTCCTTTATTCTAAATTTTAACTTTTGACTTTAAGGGAAAAGTATGACAAAGTAATTGTAATTATAAATCCACCCACCCTTCCGCTTGTAATGGAGGCCATTTGAGTACAGTACACTCAGTTATGTTCAATAAGGCAGAATTTCTAAACAAAAATTGAGACTCATCAGACCAGGCAATGTTTTTCCAATCTTCTGCTGTTCAATTGTAGGCAGTGTTTTCTATTCTTAAGACAGGACTGGAACCCGGTGCGGTCTTCTGCTGCTGTAGCTAATCTGCTTCAAGGTTTGATGTGCTGTGCGTTTAGAGATGCTCTTCTGCCCACATTGGTTATAAGAAATGTTGAGTGGTGAGTTGCTGTTGCCTTCCTACTGGATTGAAGCAGTCTGGTTAATTTCCTCTGACATCAACAAGACGCTTGTCCCTATTTTTTTGTTTTTTTTTTTTTTTTAAATAAACATTTTCTCTAAACCCTACAGATGGTTGTGCAGGGAAGTCCCAGATGATTAGCAGTGTCTGAAATACTCAAACCAGCCCATCCGACTTCAAGAGCCCCATTTCCATTAGTAACTCCTCGGATTGACTCACCATGGATCGCCAAGGTTTCCAGGGTTTTCCATTAGGTTACCTGCTCGGCTGTTGTTCCAAGCGATGCGAGCAGGCACTAAAATGTGACGTTGTCACACTGCATGCCACCGATTGCCATGCTATGCAGCACTGCTATGACAACGACAACGTACATTAGGTGGTACTCGATTATAATAGAAACTTGGTCAAACTAAGTAGGTACTAATGGAAAAGAGGCTTTAAATCAACCTTTCTTCCCTTTTCTGACACTAAATTTGAACTTCAGCAGGTGGTCTACATGCCTAAAACAATCGAGTTGATATGTGATTAACTGATGAGATATTTCTGTTAATAAGTAGCTGAATGGGTGTACCTAATAAAGTGTCAGGTGCATATTCATTTTACATGCCCAGTATTCTTGCAAGCCCTACTCATAGTTATTTCTATTAATTCTATAATTATTAATTCTGACATGAGAATGCTTGTGTCTTTTGGTGGCCATTTAAAAGTCACAGTCTTTAGCGCTTAGATATGTTGTTTGTGTATCAAGTAGAAAACAAACAAGCGATGAAACGATGAAAAACTCTTCCTCATAAATAAAGGAAGAAATGGAAAAGAGAATCTCAGTCAATCGGGCAATGACACCCAAAAAGAATCAGATAAAGGAAAGTCAAATGGAGACAAAGCTACTTTCATCTTCAAATAAAAACACATAAAAGGAGCCAGTGTTAGCCAATAATAAGAAATATGTTTTAAAAGTGAAGTAGCCACTGTGGCTCCAGGGCCAAGCTGTGGTTCACTCTGTTTGAGTCACTAAAGATAGACATCAAAGATTAAGATATCAAACGGTTCATCTTCTGTCCCTCTAATATTATACTCTCATGCTCTGCTTATCTGTCATCTCCTCAAAGCTCATGCCATGGTAGTGCAGCACTGTGTGGTCTCTCTGCAAGTACAGGATGTCGAGAAACAGACCAATTGAGTTAATGACTATCTGACATAGCCTACAGCTATAACAGGAATTCTTCAAACCCAGTCAGAACACTCAGATGTGGGGAAAAGAGGCAGACAGGGAGGGGTGAGGCAAAGACACATGGGAGAAAAGGCTGAGTACTCTTAAGTACTATCATTTTTTTAATAATAAAAATAGAAATATATGGCTACTAACATTACACACAGTAGCAGGCAGGCAAAACACACATATTAGTGCAAATACTCAAATGTGCATGCACAAACATGCACAAAAAATTATTAAATTTAAAAAAAAAAAATTAGGTGCCACTTAGCATCAGAAACTCAGCTTATTACAGAGGCAGCAAGAAAACAATGTTGGGGAGCAAGATCAGACAGGGCTAACAGAAAACAGGCTGCTTTCTGCATTCCAGGACAGTCAGCCCAACACAACACAGACACGGGGAGAGACACGGAGACAGACCATCTCTGGCCTAAAACCATACATCTGCCCTGTTCTCCCAGATGGGCCGAGTTGCGGTGAAAAGGTTTTTTTGTTCTTCCCGTTATTCCGGTCTTTTGCGGTAAATGGAAGCTCCTTTTGAGGACAAGAGAAGGACAATGAGGAGCAGCTACAGAGGTGGTTATGTTATTGTACTTTCAAGTGCTACACAGTACACAATACATGTGAACCATTTTTCTAGAAATGACCTCAGTGAACCCAGCACTGGCTGTCAGTGCAGCTACTACCAAACCATCATGAACAAGCATTACATTACTTTGAAAATACAATGGAAAAACTGGAAAAACTAACCAAGTTGTCTCTAGATTAATTTATGGTTTTATTTACAGAATGGGAAAAAATCTGTAGCCACCCCTAATTTATATTACTTTACTAGGAAAAGCCTCCACCATGTTTTACAGATGGCTGTAAACCACTGAACCTCTCTCCTGACCTCCTTCGTACATAATGACAATGATTTCAACTACCTCAAGAATGGCTTCTTGACAGCCAGCCATCCACTAACACTCTTCAGTTGGGGTCCTTTGTGTCAGGTCTTTGCCAGCTGAGTTTTTTCACCTTTCTTAAAAACATGACTTTTTAGATACTGTTCATCTGCTACAGAAAGTTTTTTAGGCCTGCCACTTTCTGTCCTCCACTCCTCCAGTGTAATCTGATTTTTTTACAATGCACAATACACTGACATATGCATGTGTGATAGGGTGATAGTAAATAAATGAATAAATAAATAGGTTTTTCTAGCTGTTCGTGTAGACGGCACCAGTTCATTCTTTAAGTTACAACTGTTGTAACTCTAACTGAGCGGTTATATCTTCACCATCTATCCATTTTTATTAACCCCTTATCTAAACTGGCTCAAAGTCATGAGGGAGCTGGGGCCTACTCCAGCTGTCATCAGGCTAGAGGTGAGCTACACCCAGGACAGGTCATCTCTTCTATCTAATCATAAACGAGTCTTATTGTTATTTGAGAAAGTAATATTAATCTTCATATCTTAGTATAGTTCACGTACACCTATGTACACAACCACAATGCACACATGCACTCTGCTTCTCCTCTTGCAGGTCAAAGACCCTCTGGCAAAATTTAAAGTTTACTTCCAAGACACTGTTCCAATTAAAAGGATGTTTTATTAGATGAGAAATTAATCCAAGTAATACTAACACAGATAATCTGGCAAAAATGTGAATGTTCCACATTGTTTATCATAAGCCATCTGTGTGAACCCTCTCAAAGTTGAACACCGCAGAATCTTTTCTTCCCTCTGTTCCCGTTCCCTCCTTTGTATGTGCGCCCTGAGAACACACAGTTAGCAGGATCCGCTAACTATAATATGAAGGCTGATCCTCCTCTGGTGACAAGAGGCAGTAAAACAGTCCATTTTGATTTGCTTTCAAAATATGTTTTACAGTTTGGGGCACAAAAGCTTAGGCAAACAGAGATCCAATCTACGACATTCATCATCCATGTCCAATTGGAGAGGAAAGAGAGAGCTGGCCATCAAACTCCTATTAAAAGTATATTAGACTGAAAATCTCTTCAGCAGCCTGAAGGCAGTCAAAGAGAGATTCTTTTATGAGTATTTGCTAAAAGAATGATCTGTAACAGCCAAATAATCTGTATGTCAACTCGGTCCAGAACGAATTAGAACATGAATAGCAAACACACCAGGTTTTAATATGATGGCAATAGGAAGGAAAATGCCTAAATGTTATAAAGGCATAAAAACAACTAGTACAATATCAGAATTTTATAGTTCCTTTCGCCTCTATTTTTTCCAGGATTCCTTTTTTGTGATAGATATCTACTCACAGTAGAGCTATAACACATATAGTACATGCCACAAGTTTCTATATTAAGTCAACTTGTGAAGTGAACTTGAGAATTTTGGCTTCAGACACGAATTACATCTTCACTGCATATTCAAGTGGAACCATCTTTTTTCCCCTTTGTGTAATATATTTTGTGTCTTTTTCTGACATTCTCACAATAAAATATATCAGGTCACCAGGTCTTAGTGAATATGCTGCAATTATCACTGATAATCACTAAACTTATATGACATAAACAGTCACAGATATACTGAAAAAAAGCACTGAGCCATATACAAAACTGTGACCATCTTCAAAATATATCAAAAGTCAGACCCACTTTTATTAGTAACCTGAATGAGCCACTGATAAAGATTTAAAATGCTAAGTGCGTACCCGTATCCACTGGTTGGCTTTTTTCTCCACAGCATTGCTTGGACGCTCTGAGTACAGTCCCCAAAGACACCCAAGCAGCAGCCCTCTGCTTGTATCTGCAAAAAAATACACCACCACATAACGCATTATACACCATGCGAGAATGATTACCATCATTATTACTTTTATCTGTTTTGGGGATGTGAAACCCACTAGCGATTGAGTGAAAGTTGTCCAGAAGCTCCACTCACCACACACGGTGACATAAGGATTCCAGCACAGCCGACCCAAAAGCTGGCCTAAGAAGGGCAACCTCTTCATGGTTTCTGTTGTTGAGCTCTTAGAGGCAGAAAGAGGGAGAGAAAAAAAAGACTTTATACTGTACGTGTTTTTCATTTTCAATACTGTCTTACTTCTGGGAAGGTACATGCAGAAATATGTTTCTAATAGGATCTAATATGACACAAATGGAAGAAGGACAACAAAGGAAATATCTTTTCATTGTTTCACTGTATTACAGATGTTTGCACCTCGTCACCTGTTTCATTTATCCTTTTAACCTAGCAACACTTTGTCATAACATTAAACATTAGAAGAATCTTATAATCACAATCCTTCCTAATTAGAACTGAGCTGAGTAACAGACACATCAACAGCTGTACAGTATACTGCTCACGCATCACCTTGTTTCCTTTGTTATGGTCATGTCACAACTCCTTCCATAGACTCAACAGTGATAGATACAGAAAACAGAACACATTGCAAAACAGGGCTCTGGTCAAGGGTGCGATACCTGTAAGGGTTTAAGTACTCATGTGTGTGCTTGTTTATCCAGCTCAGAATAACAGACCATGTGATGTAGTTCACCTCACAGCCAATTAAAACATCCAGAGATGTTTGGAGCAACAGCAGATGCTGCTTTTGAACTGGAATGACTTTTACACTTGACTTCTTATAACTTTAATTTCTATCCATTTTCATTTAATGGAATATCAAAAAACACTGCCGATACCCTCATATGAACAATAATAAAGCAGAGCTTGTCCCAGTACTTATCTTTTAAGGCCAGAACTGGTTTTACAACTTCTACAAATGGCTCTTTAACAATATCCAGACCTAACTTATAGTTTAGCAAAATATAAATATATCTGTCACAAATTTAATTCATTCTAGTTTTACCTTTGCTAGCAAAAGGCAGAATTTTCATTCAAACTGGAGACTGAGGCTTTGAGCTTAGATTTGGAAAAGAAAATACATATAAATAAACAGGTGTACGCTTCTTTTGTTGTTTTAACTTATTATTTTATGGGTTTGCTACATCAACATGATTGCCCGCACTGCGACATGCAGAAAACAGATCAAAGAGATGACGCATGACTTAAATTTACAAGCATGTCTGCACATGTGAGCAGGAATCATGTTTACGTGCATGTGCAAAATTTCTTATTATTCAGCCCATATTAACAGACTATATCATACATTTAACCTCTGGGCTAATTTAACTCTACAGCAAGTCTTTACAGCAGAAAAATCCCACACAGTGATTCTGACATATGCCAGATGTAATTGAAGCAGCGTGCTGTTGCCTAATCAAAGACAATTGCTCTTACTTCACTCCCATGTAGGGCTGAAATAATTTGTTTATTGGAGAAGCTGAATGACAAACAATTAATCTGGAAAACAGATCAACAGGCAGTTAGAGATGTTTACTAGGGTTCTGTTCAAATCTAAAACTCTGAGTAAAAATGTGTGTGGAAATGCAATAGACAATCAAACAGAAGTACAGATGGTGGTAGACACAAGGTGCACTCGAGAAATTCTACTTTCTGTTTTTTGCATGACTTTAGTTTCCAGCTTTTACAGGAAAAAAGACAATTGGAACAAAGTGATTATTGTTCCAATTGTCCAATTAACAATTACCTGCTTTTTTGTTTTGTCTTGTGATATAAATCCGGCCCAAGTTCACTTTGCGGTAGGTTGTTGCATGTGAGGTCTACATCACTTTTTCTCTGGTGAATTATTTTTAGAGTTCAAAGAAATCCGCTGTTGAAAATCTGTTTATTCTAAAGTCATTGACTAACCTTGTAGAGCAAAGTCTCCTATTGAACATGCCTGGGACATGCCGGGTCAATGTGTGCATCAGATACAGCCACAACTAGGGTTATGCCATATCACACTGTCCGCAATAAATGGTAACTGGCCTGTACTTGTAAAGCGCTTTACTTCGTCCCTAAGGACCCCAAAGAGCTTTACACTACATTCAGTCATTCACTCATTCACACACACATTCACACACTGGTGTGTGAATGTGTACAAATGTTTACATGACTAAAAAAGTGTGATATTACGATATCAAGAATTCAATTCAATTGTATTTATAGCACCAAATCAAAACAACGGCCGCCTCAAGGGGGCAGCCATATGCCGCGACCAGTTGGGGTGAGGGGAGGAAGACAGGACAAGAGACATGCTGTGGATTATTAAGAAGAAGAAGAAGAAGAAGAAGAAGAAGGTTTACGTTTCTTAGTGTACAAAACAATATGAAAAAACCAACCATGTCTGAAAGTGAGAGCCGAGTGCAGCCTCCAATGAATTAAGTTAATAGGGAGCTACTTTGAAATCTTCCAACAAACAGCAATGCTTTGTGAGGAGGGGGGAAAAGCAGCTGGTGATATACGACCCAAAAGAAAACAAATAGGAACAAAAAACTATCTTGGTATTTTAAGAAAAAAAAATCTGCACATTTAAAAAACACACCACCCTGTTTTGTTTTTTTTATCAACAGCACATAAGAGCAGTTACTAATACTGCTGCATATTATTTTACAGTGAACAGTAAGCAGTAAAAAAAGAGAAAATGAACGTTTCTTTTGAAGCCATTATGCATCAATAGTGCTCTTTCCACCAGAATCAATCAGAAAACAAATGCAGAAATTTCAAAGCAGGTGGGGGGAGGAAAAAAATGAGGCGGCATCAGGCTGATGCGTTTAAAAGGATCACCAGACTGTCAAGGAGACCGAGTTGACTCATTCAAGGGGATGAGATCAACATTAATGGGAAGCATGATGATAATAGGCCAATCAGAGTTTCTATAAAACCCCAACTATGCCTAACAAAACCAGCAACGCCATGTGAAACTCAGCCTCTCACACACACTTAGCCTTACCATCAGCTCAACAACCCATGGCAAATGTTGTCTGTGGGCATATGCATGAGCCTTTGCATGCTGCTGGTGCAACTAAAAAGGAATGCACATTTACAATAGAAACAGCACCATACTTTGTGACTGCACTGACTGAATTCCCACAAGAATAAGCCATCGCGAACAAAGTAATTATCTAAGACTACCAAAGCAAGAATCAGCATCGAAGCCTTGTCAACCATGTCCCTAATTGTGAAGTGGGTTTGCATCCATGTGTTTTGTTTTGATTAGGGACAGACATCTCAGACAGAAGTGACTGATTATGTACAAGCGAAGCAGCCAATGGGACAAGTTTATAGAGAAGTGAGGTAACACTTTTGTCCCTGACATCATTGATCCACAGTCGCAATAGCCTTGACAATAAATACCAAAGTTGCTATGTTGATCACATAAATATACACTCACCAGGCACTTTATTAAGTTCACCTTGCTAGAACCAGATTGAACCTGTTTATGCATTCAGAACTCCATTATGAGACTCAGCAAGGTGTTTCAGAGATTGAACATGGTAGCATACAGCTATTAACGCAGATTTTTTGGCTACACATTCATAATGAAAGTCTCCTGTTTCCAAAAGTGCTCCATTAAATTGAGATCCTGTAACTGTAGAGACTATTTGAGTGCAATAAACTCATCATCATGTTCAAGAAACCAGGTTGAGGTGATTTGAGCTTTTTAGAATCAGGCTGGAAAGCACCCTTCAAAGGATGGGTACATTGTGGCCATAAAGGGATGGACAGGGTCAGCAACGATATATAACATAGATAAAATAACAATGCCAAGAAAATATCCACCACACATCTGTTGCTAGGTTTGGACTTCAGCACGTCTCTTTGACCATGCCTACATTCCTAAATGCACTGAGTGGCTGCTATATCATAGATATGATACCTATTATTTTATATTGTGATAAATTACATACTTGTGTTTACAAGTACACCCAACAACATCCTCCCTTCATCTTACTTTAGTGGTCCAGGATTTTCTGATCAACTCCTTTGAGGAGTGATGTAATAATGCATCTGTAGTGTAGCAGGCATGTTTAAAAGAGGACTTGTACAACAGATAGCAGGTGCACATATTTAAACACTTGACATTTGAGGTGAATATGATCGCTTATTTTCTTGTTCAGGGATAAAATAAAACAATGAATATATGAAGCTAGAGCCAAAATTCGGCTTGGCATAAAGATTAGAAATAGGGGAATGCAGCTAGCTGAGCACCCTCCAAAATTCACTCAAATCCCAGCTCAGCAGCTGATTAATCTCATTCATCCTTTCTAAAATGTAGGAGCAAAATAGCAACATCACAGTGATGGATACAGTCACACTAGCTGTTAAGGTAATTAACCCGTCTTCTGGCTGCAGCTCCAGATGGATAGAGATGACAGCAGCAGTGGTCTTCTCATCCAAGATCTCGATAAGTGAAAACGCATACCTCCTAAAATGCAACTATTCCATTATGCAAGGCAACATCCTCCACTGTTCTAATCAAGTGTAAACCTGGAAATTAACAATAACTTGGAGTATTTTTCATCTCAGGCCATAAGCCACAAGAAAGTTGTTAAGTCATCAAGGGATGTAAAATGCTGCCAAGAAGCAGGCTATCCTCAGCTGGTCTTTTATGAGCCAACTGCCAGTAAAACGGATTTCAAGCCAATTAAGCTATACCATTCTCTCTCTTTGAATCCGTGCCATCATTCTACACACACTGACACCTCGGCATGACATATACCCAGAATAATGTTAACGGAAAAGAAGAAAGACAGAGAAAAATATCTATAAAAATATGGGGCTAACCCCAAAACCAACAGGGAAGAAGAAAGACAGGCAGACATGGGACTGTTTCTGACTATTATCAAAGTGTTGCGGTAAAACATATGGAGTACATAGCATCACAAATTAGATCCTGAAAGGACACTATGACTCATGAGAGGACTCCTTTTGCAAGAAAAGCGGGTCACAAGAACCCGTGAGAGGAGAAAAAGCTGGAACGAGGCAAAATGACCATATAGAAACACCGAAATCTCACAGCGGCCATCCTGTCCCCTTCCCAAATTTGCTGAACCTGATACTGGGATACATTAGGTTAGCACTGGAGGTCCCAGTGCGGCTATTACCTGACTAACTCAACATCGCAGTGCTGCCAGCCAGACATACACAGCCTGTCCACAGCACAGAGCAGCTTCTGTTAGCGGGCTCCTAACGATGGACTCATGTTCATGCCCTGGCTCTAAAAGGGAGTGAACTCGCATACGGGGCGTGATTTTTAAACTAACTTAGCGCTTCGTTATTCAGATGGCTGCTTGGCTGTTCAACCTAGCTGATTAATTGTTCTGTTCTATTTCATCAGATAAGGCGTTTGGAGCCCATTAAGCACACCTCTTAAAATATACAGAGCATTAAATCAGACTGAACAAGCATCTAAGAAGTCTGGTGTAGGAACAAGACCATCCACATTTGTCAGAAACATACACCTCAGGCTTATACCTGCAGCTTGACAAAGTTCACATGGGCCCCACTGTACACTTTTTGTGCTTACCATGCTGTTCACTTGTGTAAGAAGCTGGTGGAGGAAATCCCTAAGTCTGCTCATATGTAGGCAGGTGTCTTTCTGCGTGTCCGGACTGTCAGCCTGGCCCCATGCCACTGCTTTGTCCAGCCAGAACTGCATCTCCTGGTCATTCAGCAATGGCTCTTCAGTTTGCAGGGGCTGGCTCAGTGCCTGCTGCTCAGACATTTGGCTGCTGGTCAATGAAAATTTACTGAGGAGCTAAGAGTGGAAAGATAAACAAAAAAAAAAGGTAAAATCCAAATATTACACAGAGAGTATCTTATAATTTGTTCTTTATCATTTTTATTGGTACTTTCATTTATATACTATTTTTACATTTATGATCTTGACTTTGTGCAATGATTTAAAGTATATTAGCAGAATCTCTAAATGTTTTAAAGAAATTCTGTTTTGTATTGTGGAACTGGGCCACCCAAGACACTTAACCTGTAAACAGTGTTGAACTGTTTTAAAATGATTGCTGTGCATTTTGGACATACAGACCCAGAGGGATTATAAGCATGCTCATCTCGTCCATTTCATACTAATCCAGTGATCATTAGTCAGCTACATAGGCTATTCAAGGTTTGAAATATTTAAACAAACATGGTTTTTCATGTTTCAAAGAATAAAATACCCTAGACAAACCTATATGATCCCAAAGATGCACAGTACACAATGTGATTTTGTGAGATAGGGTAAACAAAAATGGAAAGCCTTTTTCTTTACCTATGGACAGAAAGACCAGAGGCAGTGTTACATAAGTGAGGCGCACTAAATATACATTATGTGCTGGTATTGAAGTTTGCAATCAAGTGACTTCTTCAGTCTCTGAAAAGGTCACTTGGGTGATTGGTGATTTTTCAACATGACCTGTTGAAACAGATCATCAAAAAGGTGGTTGCTGGTTATAGGTGAGTTAGTCTGAGATTTCCTAAACTGCTGATCTACTGGGATTTTTACTGGGTATCCAAGCTATCGGTCTGTCACAGAGACAGACAACTATTCACACTCACATTCACACCTATGGGCAATTTATCAATTAAGTTAACACCACTAAATACATGTTTTGGACTGCAGGAGGAAGCCAGATTACCCGGCGAGAACCCACACCGACAGGGAAAGAACACGGAAACTCCTTTGAAACCAGAACCTTCTTGCTGTGAGGCAACAGTGCTAACCACCACACCAACGTGCTGCCCTGTATTGAAAACATTAATCCAAATATATCAGTTAATAATTTCAATCTGCCAATGTTATTGCTGTGCTCTTCTTTAATATGTGTTCCAAAACTTTGTAGCACAGGTGGCACAGGGGGATAATCCAATAACAAGCTGAATTTACAACAAGCAGAAAATAAATTGAGGCAAATCCGATTATGATAACCTCTCGGCGATCAGGCTTACTCGCACACACATTCATGACAACCTACTGAAAAATAAACAGCACATTCTTCACCTTTTATGAAGACGGGGAGAGAAAAAACGTGTGTGGGGTGTGTGTGTGTGTGTGTGTTTCATGTCTGTAAATAGCCTGCTGAGAATGGTGTGTGTATTTGTTGTTTTTTGCTATAATGACGGGTCTGCGTGGGACACCACAGAGTTGTGTTTTATGATCACGTCGTTACACACGATTTGTTTAATGTCTTGCCATCATCTCTGCTGGAAAGCCCCTATGGCTCGCTGATGTGAATATATAAATACTCATTTTCAGGCAGGAAAAAAACCCAGACCAAATTAGGAACAAACACCCCTTGTTGACTTGTGTCTAAGGGGCTCCATTTTTCAGTACAGTAGAATTGAAAAAGAACTACGTGCTTAATAACTAAAAGTAATGATGTCACCCACAATTTCTATCACACAGGCAGCTACCTGTGCACAGGAACATGCTAAAAACTGTGGTCACACAAAGTTGTTGGTCCAAATGCATGTCAGAAGAAATATGCACATGCACAAACACACTCGTCAGCAGCTCTGGTGTTGGCTGAACACATTTTGGAGCAGGAACGAGATGTGACTGGTCAAATATTTTCTTTGAAGATTTGTTAAACTAAGCTTGTGGACTTTGGGTTACTCTGCGTTTGCTGTTCCAATTATGAGATTGTTGACATTATTTCAGTATAATCAAATCAGTCAAACATCACTTCTGGCAAATTTACTTCTGTATGCTCAAGTATGTCATATTTAAAAACACTTGGAATAACTGAGAAGGGCTGTCACAATATTAGTCTTGTTAAAGAGTTTAGAATAACAAAGTAATGCATTTATTCATTTTAACCAGTGTAGACAAAGCAACAAGGGCCATGGAGTAACTTAATAAGTGGAAAATTATGTGAATTATATGCTATTACTTTCACCTCACCAACTGCAAAATGTTCAACTGTGCAAAAAGGCTTATTAGTTGGGTTGCAACAAAGCATTCTCATACTTAATATATTAGCTAGCAAAACATCTTCATTCATCTGTAATTCGCAAAGAATTTCTACAAAAGGGCCATGCTTTTTTTGCAGCTGAAAACTAAGTGGAAACCAAAGAGAGATTGGTACTGACAATCCATTAATCTAATTTTATTTTCAGCAACACATCGCTACTTCCCAAAGTGATCTATTAATAATAATAATAATAATTAAACCACCAAAATCATTAAATTTATTGTAAAACACAAAATAAAGGCAGGTACTCCCCCAAATTGAGCTGTACCTGTCAGTTTCCACACACAGAAGCTCAACGGCTTGAATGCAGTAACTACGCCACACCACATGATGTCAGTATTTCTGCCGCTCTGCACTTAGGTACACATGCTGAAACATTGTCACTTCAGTGTTAACACACAGAATAACTTCGAATTGCAACTCCTATGCCAATCGGTTTCATACTGCTGCATGAGCCCAGCGCTGATTTTCTTCCTTCGTAGCCCGCAACTCCTGGTATCTCAGCTGTTCGCTAATTAACTAAACCACTCTACAGTTACACGTCAATTTGCTCCTGTAGTTTCAAATTACGACTTGCCTGTAAATGAGACGTATAGCCATTAGACTAAAATCTCCACGGAGCAGAAGTCAACTGTATCCAATCATTCTTTATGACTTCGGAGAAGAAGGAAAGCTATTTGTGACTCGATGAAAACAAACTGAACTTCCCTCTTCAACCGGGGTTCCGCGTATGGAAGAAGACAATTGGCTGGGCTCGACGTCACCCGCGAACTTCCTCTCCGCACTGCCAGGTGGGAAATTGAGTCATATGGCTGAATGCTAAAATATTATCTGATAATGGCCTCGGCACACTGCAAAGACTGAAGTATGAGCAATGTTCCCTCTAATTCTTCATGTGTCTGAGCGAACACACAAACTCCCTGAGCGGTCCCTTGGACCACTGTAAGCAACATTAGACGTGTGCACTGTGGTCACGCCAGCATCGAATCCATCCAAGTTACATGGTTTATTAATATAACCAAATTACAGCATTTACATTTATGTTAGACTTCTTTTAATTAACTGCTTTAGCCCACTTACAATAAAAAAAAATCTTGTTCATGACCTGAGCAGTATGTTAACACTATTGGAAGTAAAAATAACATGAACTCCAATTTTGAAAACACAACTTTTTTTTCTTTTCTTTTTTTTTATATAAAGCTCTGACTTGTATTATGAGTATGAGTCTGTGGTCTCGGAGAGAGTCCTGTAACTCTCTGTCTGCAAAATACAGTATATAATGACCAATGTTGGGCAATTAATTATATAGTTACTTCTTACAGCTGTTTACCTAAAAATGCAGCCAAGGCGGGGTTTTTTTAAATAAACATTTCAAACTATTTACAGAACAATCAGGTGTTCTGCATCAAATTTGCCACACAAATTATTTGTGCCACTCCAACAAATAATTTCTGTCCACTATGAGATAAAGGAGAACAACAACCCTATCAACACAATTTAAAAACTGGTATAAAGTCCACACTTTTTCCATCAATTGTCCTGATCGCATCTCCAATGGTTGTACACGTTGTCGTTAACGTGGCTTCACTCCACATCAGCCGCTTTGCTAGCTAAAACACCGGCGTTGGCATAGCCTGTCAATGATGTTGATTAGCTGCATAGATATGAATGTGAATCGCATTATTGGCTGGACTATGGGATAAGGTGGCATCGTTCTGATCCCATACTGGAGCAACCAGTCACTTACTAATACTGAAAACAGAATTGTTAACGTATTTATTTTAATTTCAATTCAGGTTAGATATTTTTTTGTGCGCAAAGCAGATTTTCTGTGCGCAGAGACCGTGCCAGCAGTGCGTAATTGCGAACGCGCGCAGCTTGTAGGGGACATGGAGTATGAGTATAACGAACAACCATGAAATTTGGAGGTTTAAAGTGGTATGCATAAAGAGTTACCAGTGCTTCACGAAGAAGTAAAGAAAATAGTAAAATAAAGGTTTATTTGGATATTTTGTTAATGTAAGTAGTTTACAATGAACCAGTAGTCAGAGAAAGAATAGGACCTTTTCTTCTGTTGAAGAAGTAGAGGAGGCTGCAAAAATGTTAGGAATGTTTGAAAGTCTTGCATAATATAAGACCATTATGGTTTGGTTGGTTCTCTGATTATTGTCATAATAATGCCTTACTTGTGCTGTTTATTTATTTATAGAACAATTACAGAGCAATTTTAAACATCATATCCTGACCAAAGTGATGAGATGCTGACTGATTACTAAGAGGATGTGAGTACACAAGCTAAAGTCTTGACACAATAGTATTTAAGGGAACAGACCAATAAAAACAAAAAGTGAAAAATGAAAAACAAAGCCTGGCGGTCATGCTGTTTGATTTAACTTAATGAATTCCATGTGATTTCCAACTTGTTATAAATTATAATTGCATGTGATCTATTGTGTTTTCACACTGTCATTTTGTCATAATTTGTTTAATCTAATCGTTTGTTTAATGATGAAAATATACATCTTTTCCATGCATAGCCTTATGTTCTCATCTGAGTGTACACATTTTCTTCGGGTTAAGGGTCCACAAGGTGAAGCAGAGTGCGTAGCATGGCCAGGAATTCAGGGGTCCCAGAGGGACACACTCTGGGACCCAAACCCAAAACTGTGAAGGGTTTCTAATCTGCATAGCTCAAACTGACAAATCACCCAGAGGCTCCAGTCAGACCCAGAGCAGCCTAGCACTCTGCACCAGGAAACGGTTGTTTAAACATACGTAATACATTGTGGGAGTTCATGCATGTACGTCTGTGTACATAAGCACGGATCCCAACATTAGAAAAAGAGTAAAATGTTGGTATTTGAACTCCTTGCAACACGACTTGTGCATGTGTGTATGTGTGGCCCGGTAACGGTTAATGTAAGCCTTTAATGCTGAATATTCAAGTACAAGCTATGGAATGTGTGCACACTATTAAGGCTATGCAGTGTGTTTGATTTGGGAATATGTTTAAAGTGGTTTAGTGGCTCTACATTAGACTTCAGAATTTCTGTGGTAGGAAAGCCCAGGCCTGTGGTTTTGTGCAGATGAGTGTAAGCTATAGTGGGTGTGTGACTACAGGTGTGTGCGCTTATTTAAGTATGTGTGTTCAATAGCTTTAAAATAATGCTGAAATTGTATGTACAGGCTGTGAGATGTAGCTATCTATCTGTCTTACACATTTAAGTATATAAATGTGTTTCTAATATTGGGATCTGCTAACATCCAGAAAAAGCAGATGATAAGCCACCACCAGAAGCTTGCCATCAGCTCCACCCTCGTTGCCTGCTTGGGCCAGCATGTAGGTCAACCGGTGCTTGATCACTCCACATGCATTGTGGTGTGTGTGTGCGTGCGTGTGTGTGTGTGTGTGTAAGTCTTGTAAAAACATCAGACTATGGGTTTGGAACAAGGTCCCTGGCAAAACTCAAAAAAACTAGCGAGAGAAGGAAAGAAAAACCACGGCAAAAACTTTAGAGAGTGTGGTTTGATGCCCAAAGTGGAAACCCACACGCTGATGTTTTTTGTGTGTGCACGCGTTTATGTATGCGGCTGTGGGTGTGCGTTGCGATGCTTATGCTTGAATGGGCACATATATGGATTCTAGAAGAAATGTAGTGTAAACCACGTGTGTTTTTCCTGTACTGCTACTCTGTGATTATTACAGAGCCAAGAGACGGGTTGTCATGCAGTGGAGCAGCAATTCATCCATTTGCTGGTGTGTGTACGTTTTGCATGTGTGTATGTTTGCTTTCGTGCTTGGAACGGAGACCTGATCACAGCCAAATGGGCAATTGTGCCAGTGGGATCTTATTTCAACGTCCAGACACAGTTTGGGACACTAAATAAATAAATAAGATAAATAAAAATTTATGACTACTATTGTGTTGATTTTGACATGTAGAAACTCTCTGCACTCTCAAATTCCCAGGTTCACCATCTCAATTACAATATCGAAATCACTAACAGTAGTCCCATTAGATCATTTAGGAAAACATAAAGACACAAAATAGAGCATAGCCAAACTGTGATGCTGGAAATTAGAAATGCAACTCCCACCCCAGTGAAAAAAATATTAAGCATAAATAGAGTTTAGGGAAAGGCAAAGCATGTGATGAACAAATTTTTCAAGTTGTCTTTTTGACCTTGTGGTTTGGCCAGAGAGAGATGGAGCCAAGTGAGGAGATTGGATATCAATCTCTCCCAGGGTCACTGGAACCAAGAGCTGCACAGCTGCTGACAAATTAGTCAGTTCTGATCCAAACCAATGCTTTTACCAGTTCTGGTCCAAACCAAAGCTATTACCAACCTGGCTCTGCCACCGTGGTTCTATACGACTTGCATTTCTCACTAAACCATCCACCGATGCTGCTCTGTTATATGGCCAGCTTCTGTGAGTGTATTCGTGTGGAAAATATGATGGCTAAGATAAAGTACATTTTTAATTTCATCGTTTAAGAAAACAAGGATTATTCTTTTTGCATTTGTAAAATAAAGTGAAGAAAATGAGATATAAGCTAATCTTGTTTGGTGAAGTTACGTATAAATCAAGAAGCCTTGAAAGTTGTACTTTATTTGAAAGTGTGTTTACAACAAAAAAGCATGGAAAAGACAAATTTTCCAGCATCTCAAAGGTGTTGATTCCTCTGTGATAAAATTTACTATAAATGATCACAGCTGGGCTTTATCAGGAACTCATTAAGGTGAGGAAGGGGAGGAAGGAAAGAGACATTTAAATTAAAACAAAGGAATGTGCTGTTTAAAATCTTCAGATCTGTTTGGGCTTAACTCTGATGTCTGGCTTTGAGGAAACACAGAAGGAGGGGGCCAAGGAGAGAGAAAGAGAGAAAAAGCATTTTTTTTTTTTTTTGAAGAAAAAGGAGTAACTGTTAGAGGTGTCTCCTGACATTGGGCAGCTCTCCTTCATTAATGGATCAATGTCTCAAAAAAGTGTTAGTCTGTAACTGCATCTCTGGTGGTTTTACTTTAATGTGCATTCAATTATTAAGGAAAGTTGGGACAGGCTACAATGCCAGTAATGTATTTTGATAGAAATAAGTCTATTTTAAATGTACTAGTCTAGTTTAACTCCAGCGATTTTATTTTTGTTATCTTCTCTTTTCATTTTCTTTGAAATAAAGTAGGAAGAGTTTGCTGGGTTTAAAGGTATCGACTCCATATGCTTTGGTGGCTTTGTTTCAGAAGGAAGAGCAGGTTGTCCCCGGCTACTCACGGGACCCTCAAGTTGCCCTGATGTGGGAGTGTATGTGTAAATGTTACACAGGGTGCTTGCATATAGAAAAAGTGTTTGCATCAATCTATGTATGATTAGGTAAACAAGGCTTAAAAAAAAGGGAAAGGAACAGGCCAGTCTTCCAGCGCCCTGTCAGCTCCTATTAGCACTATGTCTTTTACTGATTAGATTGCTGTTTGCTCACCTCCTGGAGCTCTTCGGTCTGCTCCAAACATGGAAATTTACTGATTAGCAATCAAGGTGTTTATGCTTGTATCCAACACTTCTGTTTAGGACAGGGACAAGCTACCTAACTATCCTTCATTGGTCTAAGGCCTGGTTCTTATATAGGGTGCTTTGTGAGAACAAAAAACACATTTGTCAGCCAGTGAGTATGAATTTCTAGCAACTTCCAGCAACTGCTACCTGACGAGACTGCATGGGAACCATTTTCCTACAAGTTAACCATATTCCTAAAACATATTCTTTATCC